AAATAAGAATGTGGTTTAAGTAATTAAGAAATAAAAATTATTTCATTTAAAATCTTTTTAAAACAATGAACTTGAATTATTAAAAACTTTTTTTTGTCAAATTATATTGTTTCTAACTGAAATATTTGATTTATAATTCAAAATATTTTTAAACCACTAAATTTGATTTTTTTAAAAACTTTATTTGTCAAATTTTATTGTTTGTATAACTCTAATATTTGATGAATTTACTAGTTTACTGCAGCAGGATGTCAGATATATTAGATTTAGACTAATTCTATTTCAAGTTGAGGATTCTAATCTAGCTTTATTCAATTCCAGAATAATAATAATAGTTATATTGGGGGATATATTTTAGGACAGGTCGGTTTTGGAACCTACCTATGTTAAGAACTTCGAGAGCTGAGCGCGATTTTAGGTAACTAATAGAACAAAAAATTTCCCTGGAGGGCCGACATTTTTTCTTGAAAATATATCGAATGGGTATGAAAAACTTCAAGCCGCTGAATACAATTCTTATTCTTATTTTATCATAAAACGGAATTTTTTCATTTTGTTTTTAAGAATACAAAAATCGTTTTTTTTTCTCAAACTGGTTCAATAATTAACAAATCCCTTTGAGATCAACTTTTCTGAATTCATTTTTTTAAGACGGATCTTATGATATATTTTGAAAAATCTGTTTTTTCTTAAATATCTCTCAGCTCGCTAGTTTTTTTTTATTTTTGAAAAAAAAATTTGATCGGGCCCCAGTTATAGTCTAAATGAATAATTCTGAAAATTCACATCTTTCATTGAAGTATTTGATATAGCCTGGAAATAAATATACTTATTATGAAAAGCAAAGCATAATGTTACACAAGAGAAAGATGATTGGAACAAAGAAAGGAGTTTCATATATATATAAATATATATATGTATATATTAAGTATGTCTGTTTTGCGGTCTGTTTGTATGTCTTATCATAACTCATAAATCCCTTGACCGATTTGTCTCACGTTTTGATTGGGGAACTTGTTGAAACCACTTCACGGAAGTGTTCTTATAAGCATAGTTTAAAAATTCTAACTTTAGTTAATCGACTTTTTAGGGAAAATTTTGCTTTCCAGACTGAGCTGGGTTTCGAAGCTAGATGTGGACATAAAGGATGGAGAGTAAAAGTTGGTCCAAGAGGTCTATAGTGGAATATGTGTATAAATTTAAAAAATTCAATTTATGACTTGAAGCATAGATTTAAGAACTTTAAGTCAGGAGATATGCGTTGCTTTAGTTGCTTTGAGAATTTACGTTTAAATTTGTTATACTATTTATTTTTCTTAAAGTTGAAAAAGAAAGATTGTAAAATTAATAAAAATAATTAAAATGCTCTTTTACCGAGATATTTTTGAGAAAAGTCATGTCAACAGCAATATTTTTATCAAAGTTTGGTATACACAAGGTTATAAATGCAAGGAAAGTTATTTCAGAGGTTATAGGAAACTATTATGGGTATTATCAAAATTATCAAAATTTAATGCTTTAACCTTCTCGGATACTAAACGAACACTGATGCATCTATTCTTGTTTACAAATTCCGCCCAGAGAGAACTGGTTTCAATATGTACACAGAGTTTACGTAACTGCAATTAACTTTCCTTGCGTCATAATCTTGGGTAGACACCTGAATTTGTATGAAAACCCTGGCCTGGAAAGGGTTCTAAAAAGACGTAAAACAAAATTAAAAGGCAAAAATGTATTAAACATGAGTTTTCTCAAGATATCTTGGCAAAAAAGTTCTAAATATCGTTTTGATATTCATGATTTCACTTATATTTTTAAACCCAACCAACCTCTTTTTTCTGAGGCATTTCAAAGTCTTGATTTGATTGTTGTTCCAGACTCCATGGTCCTTACTATTTAAAGGGACTGTATACTATTAATCGTAATTTCACCCTCGGTCCATGCAAAGATGCTGGATTCACAACGGTACCCTTAAAAGTATGTAATAAATTTCAATATTTATAATTTTAAAAAAATGATTATTTTCAGATGTTGTTACAAGATACATAAGCATGAGTAAAGGAAAAAATATAGAAATTATCAGAATTAAACAATTCAATATCTTCAAGTGTACCTTTATGAATTTGGGGTATTGCCAAATTTACATGGAGGATCACTTGAAATTAGGCTGACATTCCCTTTAACCTGCGGAAATCCCTCCCCCTTCAAAAAAAAATTGTAAGCTAATATATCCAAGTATGACAAAAAACATCTTGAAAATTCGATTTAAAAACCTGAAGGTGCGTTTTAGAGTTTACGTTTATGTCTTAATTTGTTAATGGAGGTAAAGAATAGACTTCTAGAATTATTCTAATCAATGATATTGGTTCTTTAGTTTACCCAGCTATATATTATTCACAATCACATGCCACAAAACAAGAGTTATCCACCGTATTTTTTTATTTGTAAATTTAAGAATCATACTTGTTCAAATTGGAGATGTTATGTGTAAGAAAATTCTTCTCTGTCTGGAATACTCCTGTACGTCTGTAATGAAATGTGATAAACTTCTAATTTTTAGTACCTCCCTCCATGTACTTTTTCTCCATAACTTAAAAACGGCTTATACACTCCTTAACCTTTTTAACTTCTTGAATAAATAGATATTTGCTGCATGGGGAGGGTTGAGGAGGTTTAAACGGCTGGTGGGTGTTTCATAAAATCAAAATAGTCCATAACTTTTTTTTTTTTTGAGCTACTGATCTAATATTTACATGTTAAGTCTAATTTAAAAAGTCCCCAAAAATGTATGTCACAATGTTAATATTTGTCAAATATCTGCTATGAAATGTCCTGTCTAAGAAATGTCCTGTCTATGAAATGTCCTGTCTATGAAATGCCCTGTCTATGAAATGTCCTGTCTATGAAATGTCCTGTCTATGAAATGTCCTGTCTATTAAATGTCCTGTCTATGAAATGTCCTGTCTAAGAAATGTCCTGTCTTTGAAATGTCCTGTCTATGAAATGTCCTGTTTATGAAATGTCCTGGCTATAATATGTCATATTTAAATTTTTTTATTAAATGTCCATTTTTAAATTGAAAAAGAATATACTCCCTTACTCCCATGAAGATATCTAACTTTAAATCATTTTTAAACTGAAGAAAAAAAGAAAGAAATAGAAAGAAAGAAATTTGTAGATAGCAAAAGTGCATTTTAAAAAAGTCATACTTAATGCATATTGTTCATCACATTTATAGTTTTTTTCATTTCATGGTTTTAATTTTAAAGTGAGTTGTTCAGTTTCAAAACTGTCGTTTAAAGAATTTAAAAATTTTATATGATAGGGGGATGTAAATAAAAGAAAAAGAATATTAATATTTGTCAAATATCTGCTATGAAATGTCCTGTCTATGAAATGTCCTGTCTATTAAATGTCCTGTTATGAAATGCCCTGTCTATGAAATGCCCTGTCTATGAAATGTCCTGTCTATGAAATGTCCTGTCTATGAAATGTCCTGTCTAAGAATTGTCCTGTCTATGAAATATCCTGTCTATGAAATGTCCTGTCTGAGAATTGTCCTGTCTATGAAATGTCCTGACTATAATATGTCATATTTAAATTTTTTTATGAAATGTCCATTTTTAAGTTGAAAAAGAATATACTCCCTTACTCACATGTCTTACTTTAAATCATTTTTAAACTGAAGAAGATAGTAAGAAAAAGCTTGAATTCGTAGATAGCAAAAGTGCATTTAAAAAAAGTCATACTTAACGCATATTGTTCATCACCTTTATCGTTTTTTTCATTTCATGGTTTTTAATTTTAAACTGAGTTGTTCAGTTTCAAAAACTGTCGTTTAAAAAATTTAAAAATTTTATATGAAGAGGGATGTAAATAAAAGAAAAAGAATATTAGCTGCAAAGAAGGAAGGATAATTAAGAATTGATTAATTGAAAGATATAGGAATGGATATGAACGAAATTAGAAGATGGATGAGTAATTAAGAGGATATTAGAAGATGGATGAATAATTAAGAGGATATTAGAAGAAGGGTGGATAAATAAGAGGATATTAGAAGATGGATGAATAATTAAGAGGATATTAGAAGATGGATGAATAATTAAAAGGATATTAGAAGATGGATGAATAATTAAGAGGATATTAGAAGAAGGATGGATAAATAAGAGGATATTAGAAAAAGGATGGATAAATAAGAGGATATTAGAAGATATGGATGGATAATTAGGAGGATATTAGAAGATATGAATAAATATAAGAGGATATTAGAAGAAGGATTGATAATTAAGAGGATATTAGAAGAAGGATGGATAAATAAGAGGATATTAGAAGAAGGATGGATAAATAAGAGGATTTTAGAAGATATGGATGGATAATTAGGAGGATATTAGAAGATATGGATAAATAAGAGGCTATTAGAAGAATGATTGATAATTAAGAGGATATTAGAAGATGGATGAATAAATAAGAGGAAGAAGGATGGTTAGAGGATATTCTATAGGAGAAGGATAGTAATAAGAGGATGGATAATTAGGAGGATATGAAGATGGATAGTTCAGAGGATATTAGAAGATATGGATGGATAATTCAGAGGATATTAGCTAAGAAGGATTGATTTAAATTAAGAGCTGAATTAGAAGGATGGATTTAAGAGCATAGGATTAGAATGAAATAAGAAGATTTATAGAAAGAATGGATAATTGATTGGATTCTGAAGAAGGAAACTTATTTTTCATTCAATATGCGTGCCAGTGGGTGGGTTTAGGGAAAACCCTTACATACAGTAATTAAATTCCCGCGTGATTGCAAATTTATTTAATAAATTAGTTCGATCTTCCAAGTTGAAAATAAATACTTTTTACAAAATGTTACAACCTTCAAATATTTTACTGGTAAATAACTCAAATTTACGGATAAAAAAACTACAATTGTTTGAAAATTCTGCAAAGTATGATATTTGTTTAGTCCCTGATATTGACTGTATGCGGCGCTCACAACTATTCAGCTGATTATCTTGAATTCTCTAATTTGTGAGAGGTTCTTCTGTGTAGTATTGTCGCAACACTAGATACAGGCGCTGCAGAAATACGCAGTTTAGTTCTTTGTGGATTAAATATTATTCGAGCGGGACTTATATTACAATTTCAACTAGAGTATCTTGAAACTTATCTAATGATTAAAATATAGTCAACTAAAATTGGTCGAAATTATGTCTAAGTGATATTAAAAAGACATCTTGTGTTGTAACTTTTTGTGCGTGCATTTAAGCGTTGCCAGAGCGCTGAACAATAAACGAGCTTAGCTTTAACCCTAGCCATGGCGAGTAGTGCAGTCAGAGCATTGGCCTTAGAGTACAAATCCCTTCAAGAGGAGCCCGTGGAAGGGTTTAGGGTCAAACTACTCAACGATGATGATCTGTTTGTGTGGGAAGTTGCCCTGTTTGGCCCCCCGGATACCCTGTACCAGGGGGGGTATTTCAAGGTAGGCCCAGGGGTCGTAGGGTTAATTTACCGTTGTAGGACCGAGTAAGGCTTTTATGGCGCGTGGTGCAATACGAACAGATTATTATCCAAAAGAAATAAGTCAATTCAACAACCTCAGATTTTAAAATGTTAAGATTAACGTTGATTTATTCGATTTTTGTTGATAATTGATTTAATCGATTTTATGTTTTAACTTGTTGATCTTAAAACTTAACATTTTTCAGTTAACACACTTGATGATTCAAAGGGTGTTGGGGGAGTTGGTGTTGTAGAAAGCAAATTTAAACCTTGCAAGTTTTAAAATTAATCCTAAAACATTTCGGTATATTCCTAGAGAATGATTTTTGGACCCCCCCTCCCCCCCCCTCCTATCAATTTTGTACATGGATCTTACAGAAAGTGTCTCATCTTAACCTAACCCGTGGCCGCAGCGCTCGGCCCAGAAAGTGTCTTAACCCAACCTAACTCTAAATAATGCTAAATAAAAACTAATTTGGTCATGTACAAAATTGATAGGAGGGGTGGGGGGTCCAAAAATCGTATACTAGGACAGACCTAACATTTCTTCCCAAAAATATGGTGGAGGGTTTATTTTAAAAATACATCTGGTCTTCGATGATTGTTCAATACAAAGTTCACTTCGTATTTTTTACTCAGTTAGTTCACACGACTTTTCAAGCAGAACATATTTGCTTGGTTGCTTATTTCCTAACTTCTCAAGCGATGTTCAATATTCTTAAACAGGTTTTAGAATGTAATTTTCTTATTTTTATTTCATCTAATATTAAAATTTTGTTTAATCTCAGGCCCATCTGAAGTTCCCCACAGATTACCCCTACAATCCACCCTCAGTTCGTTTCCTCAGTAAAGTATGGCATCCTAATGTTTATGAGGTAAGACCTAAGATCTAATCTAATGCTGGCCTACTTACTTTTCATACCTTACTACGTCATCTCGTATTATATTTTTTAACATTTCCTCCTTTTTCTGTTTCTTCTTTTTTCTTTTACATCTTCTCACTATATCCTAATTCTTCCCTCAAATCTTCTTTTTTCATTTTTTCATTCAACCTTCATCTTCTCATTCTTCCATCCAACCTTTTTTTTCATCTCATTCTTCCATCCAACCTTCATCCTATTCTCATTCTACCATCCAACCTTCATCCCATCCAACCTTCATCCTCTTCTCATTCTTCCATCCAATCTTCATCCTCTTCTCATTCTTCCCTCCAACCTTCTTCCTCTTCTCATTCTTCCCTCCAACCTTCATCCTCTTCTCATTCTTCCCTCCAATCTTCTTCATCTTCTCATGCTTCCATCCAACCTTCATCCTCATCTCATTCTTCCCTCCAATCTTCTTCATCTTCTCATTCTTCTATCCAACCTTCATCCTCTTCCCATTCTTCCCTCCAATCTTCTTTTTTCATTTTTTCATTCAACCTTTATCCTCTTCTCATTCTTCTTTTCAACCTTTATCCTCTTTTTATTCTTCCATCCAACCTTTTTCCTCTTCTCATTCTTCCCCCCTATTTTTTTTCCTTTTCTCGTTCTTCCATCCAACCTTCATCCTCTTCTCAATCTTCCATCCAATCTTCTTCCTCTTCTCCTTCTTCCCTCCAACCTTCATCCTCTTCTCATTCTTCCCTCCAATCTTTTTTTTCATTTTTCCATTCAGCCTTCTTCCTCTTCTCATTTTTCCATCCAATCTTCTTCCTCTTCTCATTCTTCCATCCAACCTTCTTCCTCTTCTCATTCTTCCCTCCAACCTTCTTTTTTCATTTGTTCATCCAACCTTCATCCTCTTCTCATTATTCCCTCCACTTTTCTTTTTTCATTTTTTCATCCAACCTTCTTCCTCTTCTCATTCTTCCCTCCAACCTTTTTTCATTTTTTCTTCCAACCTTCTTAATCTTATCATTCTTCCATCAAATCTTCTTCCTCTTCTCATTCTTCCATCCAACCTTAATCCTCTTCGCATTCTTTCATCCAACCTTCATCCTCTTCTCATTCTTCCCTCCAATCTTATTCATCATCTCCTTTCCTCCAACCTTCATCCTCATGTCATTCTTCCATCCAACCTTCATCCTCTTCTCATTCTTCCATCTAACCTTCTTCCTCTTCTCATTCTTCCATCCAATCTTCATCCTCTTCTCATTCTTTCATCCAACCTTCTTCTCATTCTTCCCTCCAACCTTCTTCCTTCTCTCATTCTTCCATCCAACCTTCTTCATCTTCTCATTCTTCCATCCAACCGGCATCCTCTTTTCATTCTTCCATCCAACCTTCTTCCTTTTCTAATTTCAACCAATCTTCTTCCTTTTCTCATTCTTCCATCCGATCTTCTTCCTCTTTTCATTCCTTAAGACAACCTTCGTAATCTTCTCATTCTTACTTCAACTCAACTCTTCTCCTTACTTTGTGTAATACAAAATTGTTCTTAGTCATAAACCAACCATCTTATTTCAATATGTTTATTGTTAAATATATTTCTATTTTAATAAGAATGGGGATCTGTGTATATCTATCCTGCATCCACCAGTAGACGATCCTCAGAGTGGAGAGCTGGCTTGTGAAAGGTGGAATCCAACCCAGAACGTTAGAACCGTTCTTCTCTCTGTAGTTAGTCTTCTCAACGAACCAAATACTTTCAGGTAACCATCCCAACACCTTACTGCGGGCATTGTTTTTCTTGTCAGCATCAACCAAATTCTAAGATTTCAATCGTTTGAGATGTTTTTAAATTTATAAATATCAAGATGGCAAAGGGGGGTTTGGATCTTCTACCTCCTCCCCCCCCCCC